GCCCCTCGAAGACAGGGCCAGGTGCATTCTGCCACGGCAAGGCCTCCCGTGGCAGAATGGTGGGCCCGCGCCCGGCGGCGTCCTGGAGCCCTCTTGGAGCCCTGCGGGGGCCCTCTTCATGCCCTCTGGCAAGACGGCACCAAGGCGGTCCCGACACTGCCCCCGAGGCGCCCAAGACGGCCCCAAACGGCCGCGCGGTCGCGCGGCCCCGCCCATGGTTCGGCAACCCCCGCCGCCAGTGGCAGCAAGCACGGGTACGCACTAGTCTACACTCTAACGCCAGGGGAGCCGCGTGCCAGAATGGCGGGGGACCCATTGAGGCAAAGCCGCCCTCGGGCGGGCACAGACAGACCCCGGACGCCCGAAGCGGCCCCACGACAGCCCAAGAGGAGCCCAAGAGGGCTCCAAGAGCGGCTCAAGACGGTCCAAGACGGCCCCAAGGCAGCCCAAGAGGCGCCCCAGAGGCTTCCAAGACGGCCCATGAGGCCTCCAAGAGGATTCTAAAGAGGGCCCATAATATCAAAAATTGGCCCAATCTTTTTTAGGAAAAGAAGCAATTTTGGCAATTCCGCGTTCTTCGACCCCACGGAGCGCACGACGCCCTGCTGGCCTCCGACATTCCCCCTAGAAGCTCCAAAATGGACCCCTCGGCGACGCCAAGACCGACCCAGGACGGCACAAGAGGCGCCCAAAACAGCCCGAGAGGCACCCGAGACGGCCCCAAGTGCGGCCCAAGATGGCCTAAGACAGCCCCAAGACGGCTCTGGAGCCGCTCAAGAGGCCACATCGACGGCCCCAGAAGCCCCCAAGACGGCCCAAGGGGCACTCAAGACTGCCCTGGAGGACCTCCCAGGAGAGCCCCAAGAGGTCAAAATTGTCCCGTTGCCTCCGAAAAATGCATATTGGGGGCATTTTCGTGCATTTCGTTTCCGACGTGTCCACGGCGATAGAGGCCCCCAAGATCGCCCCAAGATGCCCCCCATGAGGGCCCCAAGACGGCCCAGGACGACCCCAGGACGGCTCCTGAGGCGCGCCTGGCGGCCCACGGGGTACCCAAGACAGCCTCAAGAGCGGCCCAGGACGGCCCAAGACGACCGCCAGACTGTGCCCAGACTGTTTCAGAGACGCCCAAGGCTGCCCCAAGCAACCCCCAGACGGCCCCGACAACGCCTCAGACGGCCTCCAGACGGACCAAGAAGCTTCCAAAACGCGCCAAGTGGGCTCCACGACGAGCCCCAAGAGAGCCCGAACACTGAAAAATCGTCCCATTCCCTTTGGGAGACGTACATTTTGGCAGTTCCCGGGCTTGCCCTCTTCATAGCGTCCAAGACGGCCATACAGCCCTAGGACGGCTCCTGAGGCGCCTCTGGCGGCCCACGGGGTACCCAAGACAGCCTCAAGAGCGGCTCAGGACGGCCCAAGACGACCGCCAGACGGTGCCCAGACTGCTCCAGAGACGCCCAAGGCAACCCCCAGACGCCCCTGGCGGCCCACGGGGCACCCAAGACAGCTTCAAGAGCGGCCCAGGACGGCCTTAGACGACCCCAGACAGTGCCCAGACTGCTCCAGAGACGCCGAAGACGGCCCCAGACAACCCTCAGACGGCCCTTGACCGCCTCCACACGGCCCAAGAGGCACCCGAGACAGCCAAAGAGGGCCTCAGGAGGCTTCCAGGAGGCAGAAAAGAAGAAGCGCTGAGAGGCTCCAAAGCGACCCCCAGAGGCACCAAGATCACGGCCCAAGAAGCACCGAAAACAGCACCAACAGCAGCCAAAGACGGCCCAAAACGGCCACAGACGGTCCCAAAACGGCTCCCAGCGCACCATGGGTTTCTGATGTTTGGTTGGCGCTCCCTGCCGGATTTGGCCCCAAAATCCCTCGCCCTGTATTTCGGTCTGGAGCCCTCCCCGCGGCTTCTTGGGGCAATGCCGTGTGTCGCTCTTCCGGTGGCCCGGAATCGCCTCGGCCGACCCCAGAAGCGCGCGCGGCCGCCCAGGGCGCGTCGGACGGGATTCTGGGTCGGCGGCGCGGTGGCCCAGAATCGGTCCTGCCGATTTTGGGCGGACGGCCATTAAGGGGCTATCTTGGAGGTGTGTTGGTGACCTTCGGGCCCCTCAGAGGGCCCCGAGACCCAGTCAGGTGGGGCGTCCAGACGCTCCTCCGTCTCCTCGCTCAGCGATGTGTGGCAGGCGAGCATGACGCCATTCATCCTGATCGCCTTGCGGCAACACCCCTTCACCCCGCAAGTGGACGTAGTCCACGGGTCAGCCCCAATCTCTACTACAATGCAGCGTTCACCGCTAGCCAAATGGTTAAGCAGTGGCCGCGGGCCGGCCCCTCCGGAGCCCTCCCCGGGCGCCCCAGCAAGCTCTGGTCGGTTCCAGCGCGGCTCCGAGGCTGCCCCAGGCCACTCCTAGACGCTCCGAGATGCCTCCCCGGAGGCGCCCTGGAAGCTCAGCAGCCTCCCCCTCGCGCCCACGATGGCCCAAGACACTCCAACACGCGCTGGCAGGAGCGTCTGAGGATGGGAAACAAAGGCATTTCCTCTGGAAAACGAGCCACTTTCAAGTTCCTGCTGACGGGGTTCCCTGCCAGCTCCTGGTGCGTGCTTCTCCCCGCACCCTCGCGTTCTTTTCGGTTGCCTCGGGCCCCCTGTCCGGCCCTTCTGGCGCCTCGGGGCCCTCTTCCGGCCCTCCGCGGCCTCCTCCGGGCTCTTGGGATTTCTTGGGGCGCTCCGAGATGCCTCCGCAGGCGCCCTGCAAGCTCAGCAGCCTCCCCCGCGCGCCTAAAATGGCCCCAGAGCGGTCTAACACGCGCCGGCAGGAGCGCCTGAGGAGGGAAAAAACACATTTTCTTTGGAAAACCAGCCACTTCGACGTTCCTGCTGACGAGGTTCCCTGCGAGCTCCCGGTGCGTGCTTTTCCCCGCGCCCTCGCGTTCTTTGCGGCTGCCTCGGGCCCCCTGCCCGGCTCTTTTGGCGCCTTGGGGTCCTTTTCTGGCCCTCCGCGGCCTCCTCCGGGCTCTCTTCGAACTCTCCTGGGGCGCTCCGAGACGCTCCGAGATGCCTCCGCAGGCGCCCTGGAAGCTCAGCAGCCTTCCCCGCGCGCCCAAGATGGCCCAAGAGCGTTCCTACACGCGCCGGCATGTGCGCTGGAGGAGGGGAAAAGGACATTTTCTCGGGAAAACGAGCCACTTAAGTTCCTGCTGACGAGGTCTCGGCGAGCTCCCCGTGCGTGCTCTTCCCAGCGCCCTCGCGTTCTTTGCGGCTGCCTCGGGCCCCCTGTCCGGCCTTGAAGCCGCGAGGAGCCACCGAAAGGAGCCCAAGAAGATCTCAGGAATTTCGAAGAGAGCTCCGAGAGAGGCCTAGGAAGACCCCGCGAGAGGCCACGCACTGTTCGTTCTGAGCTCCCCTCAAAACGAACACCTCGAAGCTCATTTTGGTTCCGTCCTGGCGCCCTCGAGGCCCCTGCCAAGACGGCCTTGAAGCCCGGAGGACCTTCCCAAAGGAGCCCAAGAAGATCTCAGACGCTTCGAAGGGAGCCCGAGAGAGGCCTGGGAAGGCCCCACCACGGGCTGGGCACTGTTCGTTTTGAGCGCCCCTCAAAACGAACACCTGGAAGCTCTGTTTTGTTCCGTCCTGGCGCCCTCGAGGCCCCTCCCGAGACGGCCTTGAAACCGCGAGGAGCCCCCGAAAGGAGCCCAAGAAGATCTCAGGAACTTCGAAGAGAGCCCCGAGAGAGGCCTAGGAAGACCCCGCGAGAGGCCGCGCTCTGTTCGTTTTGAGCGCCACTCAAAACGAACACCACGAAGCTCTTTTTGGTTCCGTCCTGGCGCACTTGAGGCCCTTACCGAGACGGCCTTGAAGCCGCGAGGAGCTTCCCAAAGGAGCCCAAGAAGATCTCAGGAACTTCGAAGAGTGCCCCGAGAGAGGCCTAGGAAGACCCCGCGAGACTGGGCCCTGCCGACGCCTTCGACGCAACCGCATTTTTGACGCCTCGCCGAAGGGTGTTGTCGCGCTGCGTTCCAACGCTGCAGAGGGACAGGCGAGAGAACCCGAAGGAGAGGAGAATGAGGAGGAAGATGAGGGACAGCATGAGGGGAACGAGGATGATCAGGAGGGCACTGAGAAGGACGAGGGAGATGAGGAGGAGGAGGAGGAGGAGGACCAGGAGCAGGAGGAGGAGGAAGAGGAGGAGGAGGAGGAGTAGGAGGAGGAGGAGACGGAAACGGAGGAGGAGGAGGAGAAACAGGAGCAACAGAAGGAGAATGAGGTGGATGGGAAGACATCCATGTTCTTCTCCCCCGGCTGCTCCATCGCGCCTCCGTTCCCCATGCGTTTTGCACATGGCCCGATCGAGCCTCCTCATCACCCATGCTCCCCAATCAAGCGGCGCTCAAGCTGCTCGGCGACATGTGGAAGGCGAACCTGACGCCATCCATCGTGATCGCCTGACGGCAGCGCCCCCTCACTTCGCAAGTAGACGTAGTCCACGGGTACACCCTAGTCAGCTACAGCGCCGGGATCAGCGCGTGCGAGAAGGGCGAACAGTGGCAGCGGGCTCTGGCGCTTCTGGGCGACATGTGGAATGCAAAGCTGAGGCCCGAAGTCATCTCTTCTGCACTGCTGGGCCCGCGCGCGCGAGAGAAGTGCACGTGCACCAACTTGCTCGTCCCGCCCTCTGGCGGCTCTCGGAGGCCCTCGCCGAGCAGCGCGAGCCCCGAGGGGGGCCCGGGCGCCGCCGAGAGGGCCCACGACAGCTTCGAGAGGCCGCCACGAGCACCGCAGAGGCTCCAAGGCGCCCCCGAGGAGCTGTCCAGCACACCTGGCTGGCGAGCTGAAAACATCCAATGCTCGTTGGGGGATCACCGCTTTGGGCTTCTTCGCCTGCTCGGCGCTAGAAGGCTCCAACACGGCCTCCAGGAGCTGCTTCGGATCGGTTTGGCCGTTTGGGTGCCCTCGTCGGCCTCCTTAGGGCCTCTTGGGCAAGAAGGCCGCCCCAAGATTGCCCCAGGACCCCCCCCCCCACGGTCCCAAGAACCCAACCCCCCAAGACAACCCCCAGACCCACACGGGAGCCCCGAGAAGCCCAACGGGACCCCAAAATGGTTCACGGAAGCACCGAAAGATGGTTTCACGAGAGCCCCAGCATGCTCTCGCATTGCCCCAGGAGACTCCTTGCCCCTCGCTCGTCACTCCTCCGCGCTCCTCGCCCACTGTTGCTGGCCCTTCGCTCCTCCCCAGGCCCTGGGCATCTCCCTCCCGCCTGCCTGGCTATCCCTCCCTCCTCGCCCCTCTCTCCTCGGCCCGCGTTCCTCCCTCCTCGCTCCCAGGCTCCTCGCTGATCGCCCTTCGCGTCTCCACCCTCCCCCCTCGATCCTGACTCCTCGCGTCTCGCTCCCCGACACGGCCGGACCGAGGTACAGGATCGAGGTCGGCTCGGGGAGGGCACCCTGATGTGATTCGTGTTTTTGTTGTGGACGTTGGTGTACATCCTAGGGGTGGGAATTCCTAGGAATCCTTAGGAATTCTTATGAATCGTTCGGAAGTCCTAGGAATCCTTAGGCATTCCTAGAATCCTTAGGCAGTCCTTGATACTCTCGAACGTTCTTCAGTTTGGCTCGCGGAGGGTCTCATGTTCTCGAAGGATGCTATTCTGTTCTGGGTCCAGCCGTACTCTCACGAGCAGCAGGTTGCGTCAGCGCAGAAGTACCGAGAAACGGCACCCTGCAGCATGCAGAGGCAATAGCGAACAGCCGCAGCACGAAGCAGGCAGCGCAGCAGCAGCAGCACACGTCAAAAGCAGGCGGCACTAGCAGCAGCAACATGCAGCAGGCGGCAGCGCCTGGCAGCAGCACGCAGCACGCAGAATCGGCAATCGGCAGCACCTTGCAGCCTCGAGCAGCAGCTGCAGTCAGCAGCGGCAAGCATCAGCAACGGCACGCAACAGGAGGAGGGCCGCAGGCCCGTAGCATCAGCCAGCACCAGCAGCACGGTGCGGGGCCAGGTCGCAGCAAGCAGCCGCGCGCAACGGCCAGGAGCAGCCCGCAGCGGCGAGGAACGGCAAGCAGCACCGAGTTATCGGCAAGCGGCGGGGTAGGCCCCTCGAGCCCCGGCGCGTTCTTGGGCTCCTACGGGGCGCTCCAAGGCGGCCCCAGAGGGCCCCTGGAGAGCTCCAAGACGTTTCAAGCGAGGCACTGGATCGCCTAAGAGGGCTGCAAGATGGCCAAGATAGCCTCAAGAAAGCCCAAGAGCGCCCCAAGGTGGCCCAATAGGGTTCCCCGACGGCCCACAGGGGCCCCCTGTGCGCCCCAAGTCGTCCAACGGAAAATCCCAAGGAGAGCCTTCAGAGGCAAGAACCATGGATTTCCACACAGTGCTTGCACTTGTGGGCTCTCTAGATTGAGTACTCCACAAAGACAGTAGCACACAGATTGCTAGCAACAAACTGTCTGGGAACCACGCTGGCAAACATGTCCCGCAGGTTGTTCAACCATCTCGCTGTCCCGGACCTTGGATCGCCCACGAGGGCCCCAGAGGCTTTCCGAAATCGCCCCACGAAGGCCCGAGCCCCACGGGGTTCGCAGACGGCCGAAGTGGCTCCCTAGGCGGCCAGAGGGCTGCCAACATGGCCCAAGGACGGGCTCAAGACGGCCCAGAAACGCTCCAAGATGGCCCCAAGGCGCCTCCAGGACGTCCCTGAACCACCCCAATCAGCGCCCAGTGGTCACAAACGCAGCCCAGATGGCTCCAGCGTGCCCTCGAAGCCGCAGCACCTGACGCAGCAGCACAGCCGGCGACCAGCCCGCCGCCGTCCCGGCCGTGGAGTGCAGCAATGGGTTGGCAGCAAGCCGTGGAGTATCGCCGATGTTGTTGTCGTGGACGTAGTCCGCGGGGCATCCTAGTCTTTTGAGTTGTATGGTCGGAAGAAGCGCACACCAGAAGGGTGAGCATTGCGAACCGGCTCGAGTGGCCAGAATCGTCCCCGGCGGGCCCAGGCAGGCCGCGAGACGGTCTTAGATAGCCCGAGACGCCTCCAGACGGCCCAAGAGGTCACCAATATGGCTTTCAGACGGCCCAAGAGGGCCCCCAAGTGGCCCCAAGAGGGCCCCCAAGAGGGCCCCGAGGAGCCCAAACCATGCACGTTCTTGCGATGTTCCCGCTTACGTTGGCATCCTCGCCTTTTCGGGTTGCCCTCGCTCCAAGACGGCCCAAGAGGCCCCCAAGATCAAAATGGCCCAACAGGTTCCCAACACACGGCCCGAGGGCCCCAAAGACGCCCCAAGGCGGGCCCCCCGGCGGGCTCCAAGACGGCCCAAGATGGCATGAGACACTTGCAGAGGCCCCCCAGGAAGGCCCCGAGAGCCCCAAATCATAATGATTTCACGTGATCCGTCACTGATTTGCGAGCTCTCGCGTTTTCATGCTTCCGATGCTTTTGCAAAAGTCGCTAGGATCCCTGAGGAATCAGCCCCCGGACCCTGGGGGGTGTTCTGTCCAGATTGGTCCCTCAGCCCAGACCGATGTTCGACGGCCCTGGAGCCCGTAGTAGTCCGCAGAGGCTTACAAGGACGACGAACCTCCTCGAACCGTGGCGCTCCTCGCCCAACGCCCTTCGGCCGTCGCTCCTCCCTTCTCGCACCTCGCGCTTCGCTGATTCACCATCGCTTCTCCCCCTCGATCTCCTCGATGTTCTCGATCCTGACTCCTCGCCTGTCGATCCTCTCCCGACAGCATGTCTCGTCAGAACGCTGAAGTATCGGAAAGCATCACCTCGCAGCATCAAACAGCAGCAGCAGCGAACGGCAGCAGCTCGAAGCGGGTTGCAGCAGCAGCAGCAGCAGGAGCGCACAGCAACAGCAAGCAGCAGCAGCAGCAGCAGCAGCAGCAGCAGCAGCAGCAGCAGCAGCCGCGGCGGCGGCGGCGGCAGCAGCAGCAGCAGCAGCAGGCATCGGGCAGCAGCACGCACAAAGCAGAACTGGCCATCAGCAGCACCCTGCAGCTACAAGCAGCAACAGTACGAAGCACCGGTAAGCATCACCAAAAGCACGCAACAGCGGCAGCGAGCAGTAGCATGCGCGGAATTCGAAGTTCGAACCTCGCGTCCTTATGTCAGCCTTTCGGCAGCGCGTCCACCACCACGTGCCAGCTCGTGAAGATTTCGTGGACGTAGTCTACGGGTCAGCCCTAGTCAGCTACAATGCTGGGATTAGCGCGTGCGAGAAGGGCGAGCAATGGCAGCAGGCTGTGGCGCTGCTGAGGGATATGCGCGAGACGAGGGTGGAGTCCAACGTCATCTATCAGAGAGAGGGGGGCCGCACGGTCCTACATCATCCCCGGGCGCGCGGGTGGGGTGGGATCCCGTGGCCCCGATGATGCTGTGATGTCGTCTGCGGTTGTCGTCGTCGTCCCTCCCGCGACCCACCCGCGACCCAACCCGCGACCCACTCCGCGACCCACTCCGCGACCCACTCCGCGACCCAACCCGCGACCCACCCCGCGACCCACCCGCGACTCACCCGCGACACACATCCCGCGACCCACCCCGCGCCCACACCCTCACTCTCCTCTGGAACTGGGGGATGCTACGTGCTACGACACGGTCGTGGCACGGCCGGAGGGGGTGCGCTAAGAGAAGGAACGGAAGGGGCCCTCCTGGCCACGGCGGGCCTCGGCCGCGATTACGTTCCCCGACCTGCCCGGAGATCCGACGCTGCGAAAAAATCCGCCTGGCGAAGGACCCAACCATCCTCCTCCTCCTCCTCCTCCTCCTCCTCCTCCTCCTCCTCCTCCTCCTCCTCCTCCTCCTCCTCCTCCCCCTCCTGGGCACATTCGTCTTAATCGGGGATGGACAGACCGAGATCCGACGCTGCGAAAAAATCAGCCTGGCGAAGGACCCAACCATATGCAGCTGTGAGTACCGCAATTGTGAATATCATCTTCGCTGGCGCTCCCTATGGGGCCACGAACCGTGCGAGGGGGCCTGCCGAACTGCGCGGCGGGGCCCACAATACAACCAAGGACGGCCGGTCTGAGTGCGAGAGATTGAGAGCGGGTGAGCCTGAGCGCGAGTGAGTCTGATTGTGAATGAGTCTGCGTGCGAATCTGTCTACGTGCATGAATGTCGACGCCCATGTCGGCACGCTCCTCACGAGGATCGCGCCCGCTTCCTTTCCTTTTTTTCTGCCTCTTTGCCCGTGCACGCCGACGTCCATGGCTGCGGGCGCGACGCCGCACGGACTCCCCACGACGCACGGTGGTCGCCCCGAAGGGGTCCCGGCGACGCGCACGGGTCGTCCGCTGCGCGTAGCAGAGAGAGTTAGCTGGTTGACTGACAGCTGGCAAGGCTGTGGCCGCTGGGCAGAGCGACGACGGGGGCGAGCGAGACTCTGGGCAGAGCGCAGCGCGGAATTCCCGCGACGCGCGCCGGTCTCCCCGAGAGGGTCCCAGCGACGCGCGCGGGTCGCCCGCGGCGCGAGGCCAAACAGTCAGACCGGCGAGAGACGGCGAGGCTCGGGTGGACCGCTCCTCAAGTCTAGCCTCGCGGATAAACTCGGTGAAGCCCAGCTCCCTGGCGAGGGCCGTCGCCTCCCTTCTGCGCCGCTTCGTGCGCGCCGCAAACTGCTCCAGCTGTTTCCGCAAGCCTTCTTGCGGCCCTGCCAGGAAGAACTCGACGCGCGGCGCCCGCATGAGCAGGAGGTACTCGTGGCGCGTGGCGCGCGAGAGCAGCGCGTAGAGCTCCAGCCACCAGTCGTCGTCCTCCTTCTTGCCGTTCCCGACCTCGTGGCGGCAATCCAGGATCACGCCTGGGCGATGTCGGCCGAGGGAGCAGCGCGCCAGACAGCCGACGGCCCAGGGCGAAAGTCCACGGGACCGAAAGAAGGTCTGGTTGCGGACTGCGCGCGCCCAGCGCGCTGTTCCCTCGCCCCGTCGCCCCTTGCCAAAATGGGGCGGGGCCGCCATGCGAGCTGCGCCACTGAACCCTTCGGTGGAGCTCCCTATGGGGCCACGAAACTTGTGAGGGGTGTGCCAAAATGGGCCTGGGCCGCCATGCCAGTTGCGCACCATAGGTGGAGCTCCCTATGGAACCACGAAGCGCGTGAGGATTTTGGGGCGGGGCCGCCATGCGAGCTGCGCCACTGGGACCTTAGGTGGAGCTCCCTATGGGGCCACGAAACGTGTGAGAAATGTGCCAAAATGGGGCGAGGCCACCATGCGAATTCAGCCAGTGGGACCTAAGGTGGAGCTCCTTATGGGGCGACGAAGCGTGTGAGGGGTGTGCCAAAATGAAGCGGGGCCGCCATGCGAGTTCCGCCATTGGGACCTTAGGTGGGGTTCCCTATGTGGCCACGAAACGTGTGAGGGGTGTGCCAGAATGGGCCTGGGCCGCCATGCGAGTTCCGCCACTGGGACCTTAGGTGCAGCTCCGTATGGGGCGACGAAATGCGTGACGGGTGTGCCAAAATGGGGCGACGCCGCGATGCAAGTGCCGCCACTGGGACCTTAGGTGGAGCTCCCTATGGGGCCACGAAACGTGTGAGGGGTGTGCCAAAATGGGCCTGGGCCACCATGCCAGTTGCGCACCATAGGTGGAGCTCCCTATGGAGCCACGAAACGTGTGAGGATTTTGGGGCGGGGCCGCCATGCGAGCTGCGCCACTGGGACCTTAGGTGGAGCTCCCTATGGGGCCACGAAACGTGTGAGAAGTGTGCCAAAATGGGGCGAGGCCACCATGCGAATTCAGCCACTGGGACCTCAGGTGGAGCTCCTTATGGAGCGACGAAGCGTGTGAGGGGTGTGCCAAAATGAAGCGGGGCCGCCATGCGAGTTCCGCCATTGGGACCTTAGGTGGAGCTCCCTATGAGGCCACGAAACGTGTGAGGGGTGTGCCAAAATGGGCCTGGGCCGCCATGCGAGTTCCGCCACTGGGACCTTAGGTGCACCTCCGTATGGGGCGACGAAACGTGTGACGGGTGTGCCAAACTGGGGCGACGCCGCGATGCAAGTGCCGCCACTGGGACCTTAGGTGGAGTTCCCTATGGGGCGACGAAACGTGTGAGGGGTGTGCCGAAACAGAGACATGCGGAGAGCAGAAGCAAGGACGAGGAGGAAGGAGGGACGGCAGCGGGAGGAGGAGACGCGCGGCGCTTCTTTTCAAAACGAGGGCCCAACACCACAGGATGGTTGGGAAATACAACATCGCAAGAAAGCACGACCAGATCCCCGGAACCCATCTTTTTGCATAATTTTTCAAGCCGGATCGATCCGTGAGGGTCCCGGGGCCCGAAACGAGGCGAAAACGCTTGTTGCGAAAAAAATGCGACGCCAGGCTCTCAGGGTAGACCGAAAGAACGGTCTGAAGATCAGAGCCCCTCCTGGGCCCGAAGTGATCCTCCTCTGAACGCCTGGCCTGGGTCGGGAATTCCCGCGTGCGAGGCGGGCGCGCTGCCTCTTTCGGCCCGGCCCTGGACCCAGACCCCAGACGTCGTGAGTTTTGTCCAAACGTCGACCCCAGAGACCTGGACCCCTTCCAGGGACCGGCTTTCCATCCTGAGTCGTTTTTTGCCGGTCCCGAGGAGGCCCGAGGCAGGGCCCCCGAAGGCCGAAAATTATACCAAAAAACTCCCGTCGCGAGTCTTGCGCAACGCGGGAGGGCGGGGGGGAGGGCGGCGCCGCCTCGGCGCCTCCGCTCGGGCGGCGAGGCCCGTCCTGAGAGCCCTGGGCGCCTCCCGGGCCGCCTCCGCCGGGCCCCCGCCTCTCTGGCGGCCCGGGAACGGGCAGGCCGCGCCCCGGAGGCGCGAGAGAGTTGCCCCAGGGCGCGCTGGGCGGGACTCTCGGCTCGTGGCGCGGCGGCCCAGAACTTCTCCCGCCGATTCGGGGCTGGCGGGCCTGCGGCCCAGAATCGTCCTGGCCGACCCTGGAAAAGCGCGCGCGGCGGCCCCGCGGCGCGCCGGCTCTGGGCCGGCGGCGCGGCGGCCCAGAGTCGACCCCGCCGATTCTGGGCCGGCAGGGCGGGGGCCAAAAATCGGCTAGGTGGCTCCAGAGGCGCGCGTGGCCCTGGGAGCGAGGGGCAGGATTCTGGGACGGCAAGCCAGGGGGCGTCCAGAATCGGCACCGCCGATTCTGGGGGGCCGGCGGGCCGGTGGCCCTGAATCGGGCCAGCCTAGCCTTGCAGCCCATGGTCGCCGCCGCCGCCGTCGTCGTCGTCGTCGTTGTCGTCGTCGTCGTCGTCGCCGCCGCCGCCGCCGCCGCCGCCGTCGTCGGTGTCGTTGGGGGCTCGTTGAGGGCTCCAAGACGGGCGAGCAGCGCTACCTGGCGCTCCCGCAGCTCAGCGATATGTGGCAGGCAAACATGACGCCACTAATCCTGCTCGCCTTGCGGCAGCACCCCTTCAGCCCGCAAAAAACGTAGTCCACGGGTCAGCCCTAGTCTGTACTACAATTCCGGGCGAAGCGCGCGCGAGAAGGTCAGGCAGTGGCAGCGCCCCGGGCCGCCCAGAGAGCTCGCGGGCCGCCCGGAGAGCCTCTCGGCCGCTGCCCGACGGGCCCGGGAGGCCCCCGGACCGCTGGCGGACTGATCCAGGATTCCTAGATCGCCCCAAGACGGCCTCAGGAGGTCCCGAAGACGGCCCAAGACGGTCCAAGAGTGGATCCGAGACGCTCAAAATGGCTTCAAGACGCCTTCAAGACGGCTCGGGACGCCTCCACGAGACCCCCAGAGCGCTCGAAGTGTACCTCCAAGAGGGGCCGCAGGAGCCAAAATCGTTGAGTTTCTTTGTTTTCTTCGATGTTTCTGGCCTTCTCGCGTTTTCGGCTTTCCGACGCTCCAAGACCGCCCAAGAGGCCCCCCAGACCGTTCCGAGACGGCCCAAGAGGCCTTCAAGACGGCCCCAAGACGGCCCAAGAGGGCCCCAAGACGGCCCAGGAGTCGCCCCAGACACCCCAAGAGGGCCTCAAGAAGGCCCCAAGAGAGGCCCAAGACAGGGACCCGGAACCGAAAAATTTAGGCCTCCAGCCCAAGAGGCCCCCAGGAAGCCCCAAGACGCCCCAAAGAAACGCCGGGACGCTCCCAAGACATCCCCAGGAGGCCCCAGGACGCCCCACAGAGGCTCCAAGAGGCCCCCCAGAGGCCGCCAAGCGCCCCACAAGGCCCCCAAGGGGCCCCAAAAGAGCGCCCAAGAGGCCCCAGGACGCCCCCAAACTGCTACCAAGAAGCCCCCAAACTGTCTCCCAGAGGCTCCCGAGAGGCCAGCCATGAGATCCCAACCAACATCCACGAGATCTCTTGCCCACTACCCAGGCCTGCGGCGACATTGCCCGCAGGCCACTACAGCCGGTTCGGGGGCCCTACGTATCCCAGCACCTACACCCTTGGCTGTATCGATGCAGGGCCCTGGGGGGCCGAAACCTCGGGAAATTCAGATCGTCTTGGGCGGTGTCCAAGGCCTTGGGGTACGTGTGGGGGCCAATCCTGGCGCAGTGGAATGGCCAGAACCTTCGGATTTTCGCTAATCGCGGAGAGGCCGGGCGCGATTAGCGAAAACCCGATGCTTTTTGAGACCTCCACGCCCGGCCTTAATCGGTTACGATAGCCCTCTTGGGTCGGGCGCCTCGTGGGGCGGCTAGGGGCAATCTTGGGGGTGTGAGGCCGTCTCGGACCTCGCGTTGGGCTCCCGTGGGCGGCATCTGCGGCTGTGCTGGGCCCTGCTGGGGGTCACTTGAGGCTTCGGTGACACGTGCGAGTTCGGGACCAACGCCTGGACCTGCGGGCCGTGGATTTTCCACGGGTTCACACTAGTCAGCTACAATGCTGGTATCAGCGCGTGTGAGAAGTGCGGGCAGTGGCAGCGTTCTCTGGCGCTGCTGAGCGAGATGCGGGAAGTGAAGCTGGAGCCCACCGTCATCGAGTTACTGCATTGCAGGCCCTCGCGCGTGCCAGACAGGTCCTGCCAGGAGAGGACCATGGAGCGCCCCCAAACGGTCCAACTACAGTGGGGGCACATGCCAAGAAACACCCTGCTTTGCCTCCAGGGTGCCCTGGGTTTCTTGGGTTCCAATGGCTTTGCTGCGGAAGGCGTGACGCTCCCACACCAAAAATCAGTGGACGTCCTGGGGTCTCAGGGTTGGGTTTCTTGTGGAGGAGAAGGAGGAGGAGGAGGAGAAGGACCAGTGTAAACCCAAGAGTCATCAACGAAGTTGGAATTAACCCTCCCTCCAAGCTCCCTCTTTATAGGCCCCTACAACGGTTCATTTCCATCGAGGGGTTAAGACTCCGAAGCATGCCGAAACATTGTTCTCGGGATTTCAACGCAACGGATAAACCTGACTGTTTCGTCTTAACGATCTGGAATCGTGCCAGAACGCCATTGTTGGGACTTCAACACCGCGAACGAACATAATTGATGCACCCGCATAATCCTGAATCCTTCCAAGACACCATGTCTGGTACGTTGATCATGGGATTCCGTGAAGCTGTTTCAAATCTTTAGCGGCGCTAAGGCGAGAGCCACATTTTGAAAATGAACCGCCATCAATCCGTGAAACTCTTGCAATGTTTTGAAGCGAATGTGCGCGGCGCTAAGGCGAGAGCCACATTTTGAAAACGACCCGTCCTCCATCTGCGAAACTGTTGCCACTTTGTAAGTTTCAGAGTCATTGGTGATGAGGTCCTCATCACCAATGACTCTGAGACGCCCGGCCCGCCCCAAAAACTGGCCTCGGGGTGCGACAGGGAGAGCTATCTATAAGGAAAAGGAATGAAGGAGCAGGAGGAGCACGAGGAGCAGGAGGAGCAGGAGGAGGAGGAGGAGGAGGCAGGAGGAGGCAGGAGGAGGAGGAGGAGGAGGAGCCTGCTGCGCTCCTCGAAAGGCCTCCACGATGGCCCAGCTTGCTTCCCAGACGCCCCCGTGCCCCCCCCCCAGGCACGCAGCACTCATCAGCGACAGGCGGCAGCAAGCCGCGCCTCGCCAAGCCGCACAAACCCCAGCAGCCGCACGCCACGACCAGCACCGGGCCGCAGCGACGAGAAGTAAACAGCAAGCACGCTAAAGTAAGGTCGGGCTTGTCCCTCCTCCTCTGTCCTCCTCCTTTCCCCTCCTCCTCCCTCCTCCTCCTCCTCCTCCTCCTCCTCCCTCCTCCTCCCCCTCCTCCTCCTCCTCCCGCTCTCCTCCTTCCTCCTCCTCCTCATCCTCCTCCTCCCCCTCCTCCTCTCCCTCCCCCTCCTCCTCCTCCTCCTCCTCTCCTCCTCCTCCTCCTCTCCTCCTCCTCCTCCTCCTCCTCCTCCTCCTCCTCCTCCCTCCTCCTCCTCCTCCTCCCTCCTCCCTCCTCCTCCTCCTCCTCCTCCTCCTCCTCCTCCTCTTTTCATCAGGAGGAATGTTCACAAGTAATGTTAAGAAATAGAGGGACCATTTGTTCAACTATGTTTGGCGATTGTTGCGTATTGTTTGTCCCTGTTGAATCAGTGTCTTCCAAGATCCGCCTGTAGGAGGGCATTCCCGAACTAGCATTGAAGGTTGCGGCAACCAGCGCCAAGCATCAGCAGGCGGCAGGACGCGGACGGACAAACCATAACGGAGCAAGCAACCAGAAATTTCGTTCGAGCATTTGATTGAGAACCTCCCTAACAGTTGGGCCAGCGTTTCTTAACTCACTTGCCGGAGAGCTGGCCTGGTCTCTTGAGCACGCTCGCCCCTCCAGCGTGAACGGCAGAGAGTTGGCCCCGGTCTGTTTCAGAAAGTTCCGGGAAGCTGGCTCTGATTTCTTACTTGACAACTTGTTTGATCAAATGTTCGGTCAGTTCACACCAGTCCAGCCACCACGACAGCAGGACAGCAGACAGGCGGACCAGCAGGCAGGCGGTCCTCACCGGTCCACGGAACCCTCCGCGGCTCCCGCGGGGCTCCCCCTGGTGCTCATCCTGGCCCGGGTCACTCTTTGCTCCCGTCGCAGCTCGTTCCTCTCTCTTGGCCCCTCGCTCCTCGCGCCTGGCTGCCGGTTCCTTCCTCCTCCCTCCTCGTACGTTCTCCTCCTGCCAGGCCCCCCAGGGGCCTCAAGAGCGCCCCAGGAAGCCCCGGGACTGCTGTCTGCCCCCTCTTCACGCCTCCCTCTTCGCTCCTCCCTGCTCACTCCTGGCTGGTTTACCTCTTCTCGTTGCTCGGGCCTCGAGGCCGTCGTCCATATGAACGACTTTCGGCAGCTTTTCTGCCATCACATCACATGACTTTTCGGACAGAGTTCGTGGACGGTAGTCCACGGATCAGCCCCAATCACCTACAGCGTTGGGATCAGCGCGTGCGAGAAGGGCAGGCAGTGGCAGCGCGCTGTGGCGCTGCTGAGCGAGATGCGCGAGGCGAAGGTGGAGCCCAACGTCATCTATACTATACGGCTGGGAGAAAGGCGTGCCAGAAAGGTGGCGGACTCAAGTATCCAGAGAGAGCCATCTGGCGGGCCTTGACGGGCTCCGAGATTGTCCACGATGGCCCGAGACGCCCCTGGATGTCCCAAGAGGTCGCCAATATGATTTTTCCAACGGCCTGACAGGGCTCCAAGACAGCCCAAGTGGGCTCCAAGAGGCCTCCCAAGAGGCCCCAAGAGGCCAAAGTCATTAATTCCCGTATGGTATTCCATTGATTTTGACGTTCTTGCTTACTCGGGCTTCCGACGCTCCAAGACGGCCCAAGAGGCCCTTGAGATCGCCCGAACACGGCCCAACACGAACCCAAGAGGGCCCCCAGACGGCCCAGGAGAGCCCCAAGACCGCCCAAGCGGCCCCCAAGACGGCCCCCAGAAGCCCCTCGAGGCCCAAGTCAGGCCCCCAGAAGCCCGAGAAGCCCCAAGACACCCTTAAAGCCGCCTCCAAGAGGCTTCCGATGGAAGATCCCTTAAAGAGCTCTGGGGCCGCGCCAGCCACTCAGACGTTCGGCACCCTCCGTTGGAGCGACTCCGGTCTGACCAGGCGACCCGCTGGGGCGTTCTTTCTGCTTGAGAGTGCTCCGCAGTGCATGTTCTGCCTTCTCCCGAGCCTACGCAGCCCGCGCGCACCCTCCGACCTCCTCGGACGGTCGCAGACACGATGGAATTTGTCTTTAGAGAATAATATAAATAATAAGAATTATACTGCTAAGAAGAAGAAGATGATGCTGATGAAGAAGAAGCAGAAGAAGACTATTTGTTATATATAATTACTATATCTTCGTTTATACATTACACATATATGTATATATATAGTAACGCACATGCGCTTTGTCGTACGCCGTTGCCCTAATGCTGCCCCAGAGCGGCTCAAGGTCGTCTCTGGGCGGCCCAAGACGCCCTCTCCCGCAGTCCAGCCGGGCTGCAAGGCAACTCCAGAAGCTTCAAAGAAGACGTGAGCTTAGATTCAGCCCAGGAGACACCCATTACAGCTTTCGGAAGCCAGCAGCAGCAAGCCAGGAAGCAAGCAAGCAGCAAGCAGCAAGCAATCCAGCGAGCCAGCCAGCACGCAAGCAAGCAGAAAGCAGGCAACAAGCCAATACAAACAGGCAAACTGATCGCAAGCAGCACTAGCGACAAACAGTTTAAGTAAATGAGCAGCAGACATCCACTCCGCGAGCATCCAACCCAACGCCCCCTCAAGATCGGTGCAATCCCTGAGGAATCGGCCCCCAGACCCTGGGGGGGTCTGTCCTGACTGGTCTTTCGCCCCAGGCCCCGGATTGATTTCTGACGGCCCCGGAATCCGAAAACAGCCCCCTGAGGTTTACAAGAACAACAGACCTCCTCGAACCTCGACGCTCCTCGCCCGTCACCCCTCGGCCGCCGCTCCTCCGCTCATTGCTCTTCGCCGATGGCCCATCGCTCTCCCCCATCGATCTCCTCGATGTTCCCCGATCCTGCCTCCTCGCTCTTCGATCCTCTCCTGGCAGAAAGCTGCGTCAGAACGCTGAAGTAGAGACAAGCATCACCCTGCAGCATCAAGCAGCAGCAGCGAACGGCAGTAGCGCGAAGCGGGCAGCAGCAGCGAGAACGCACAGCAACAGCACGCAGCAGCAGGCAGCCAGTAGTAGCACGCACAAAGCAGAACTGGCCATCAACAGCACCCTGCAGCTACAAGCAGCAACAGTACGCACCAGCGAAAAGCATTACCTACAACACGCAGCAGCGGCAGCAAGTAACAGCGCGCAGTCGTATGCGCGTAATGCGACGTTCGAGCCTCATGTCATCATGTCAGCCTTTCGACAGCATGTCCATTATCACATGCCAGGTCGTGCAGATTTCGCGGACGGATTCCACGGGTCAGCCCTAGTCAGCTACAACGCTGGGATTAGCGCGTGCGAGAAAGTCACACTGTGGCAGCAGGCCTTGTCGCTGCTCGACGAGATGCGGGAGGTGAAATTAGAGCTCGACATCATCAGCTACAGCTCTGGGATCAGCGCATGCGAGAAGGGAGAGCAGTGGCAGCGGGCTTTGGCGCTGCTCATCGACATGCGGGAGGCTGTATTGGAGCCCGACACCATCAGCTACAACGCTGGAGTCAGCGCGTGCGAGAAGGGCGAACAGTGGCAGCAGGGTTTGGCGCTTCTCAGGGAGATGTGGGAGGCGAAGCTGGAACCTAACGTCATCAGCTACAACGCCGGGATCAGAGCGTGTCAGAAAAAGGGGCAGTGGCATTGGGCCTTGTCGCTGATCAGCGAAATGTGGGAGGCGAGTGTAGAGCCCGATGCCATTAGCTACAGCGCTGGGGTCAGTGCATGCGCGAACGGCGCGCGGTGTCTTCAAGCATTATCGTTGCTCAGAGAAATGCAATTGATAATATTTGGTCCTGGCTTCACTGCCGATGTGTTTGTGATCAACATGAGCGAACAAGGCAGGCAATGGAAGCAGGTGTTGCCGTTAGTCACGGAGGTACGCGACTCCATCATTGCATAATGCAGTGGAGAAGCGTTGTATGGACATGGATGTTGAGATTCTTGATCGGCCCCATATGGCGCCCTGCTGTGTACTGGTGCACACAGATTGTGACGCCCGCCGCGCACCTGAAGTCCGAGCAGTAGTTGCAACGGTAGCCCTCTCATGGAAGAGGATGCTGGATTCAGAGCAAAGATTATTTCATGCACGACTTCTACGGGACGTCGTCTTCCACGGAGTTGCAGGCAAAGCAATATGTGGGGCAGACGCGAACATGGTTTACATTACATGGAGCGCCGTGGAAAGTCTCATTGGAGTTGTATCTTGCGTTGGCTCAGGATCGCCACCGCGGAAAAGGTTTCGACCCGTTGCAATGCTGAGATCAGCGCGTGCGCGAAAGGTGCGAGATGTTTGAGGCTGCATCGCCGTTCAGCGAAAGCTTTGAGAGGGGAATGAACAACACAGATGTCACCACCTACTGAGTTGTAAGCGGCACGCGCAGCAAGGCATGCAATGGAAGCAGGTGCTGACGCTACTCAGTCACCCACACACACACTCCACCCGCACACACACACACACACACACACACACACACACACACACACACACACACACACACACACACACACGCACTTTCTCTCTGTCTCTCTCTCTCTCTCTCTTGTTCTCTCTCTCTCTCAGACACACACATACACACACACGCACGCAGGCACGCACGCAGGCACGCACGCACACACACACACACACACACACACACACACACACACTTTTCAACGTCGCGGCCCTGCGCGCGGCGACAGGTCGGAGAAGGTCGTAAAGCAGCGAACGTGCGCGCGCGACTAGGAACGCCCGAGCCCTCAGAGACCGCTTAGGGTCCCGCAACGGCTGGCAGCCAAAAGCACACACACACACTGCATTTGGAGATTGCTAGCCATCCGAGTACAGGGGGCGGCCAAGTCCGAGTAGTGGCCGCAAGGACGGGGCAACGCAACGTGTGGAAGCGAGTCCTTCTCCTCCTGCCTTGTCCTCTTCGTCATCTCTCCCGGTCTTCCTCCCCATATACATCCCTTTCTCGGCCCCCTCTCCCCGTCTCCATCTCTTCCTCTCCCTCTTCGTCATTTCCTTTTGATTCATCATCACCACCACCACCACCATCATCATCGTCCTCATCCTCCTCAACATGACCATCAGCATCACCATCCCCAGCAATTCTGGCTCAAGGCCAAGACGGTTGCTTCATATCTGCTTGTGCGGGGGCAAGCTCCCCTTCCCAATCCTCAGTCGGCTTCATGCGCTTGCAGCAACAAACAAGGGTGAGCTGCCACCCACTCCAGCGTACATATCCTTTTGGCCTTGCTGGCGGCCTTCCATATCTTCGCGGTCGGCTCTCATCAGGATTGCCACGCACTAGGTATTTCCGTGTTGAACGGTCCCGTCCTGGTCGAAGCTTCACGGCGCAATTCTATCATATGGTTTCAAGCGGCAGCAACAGATCCAGTTCTTCGAGTCCCACGCAATGCCCCAGAAGATGCAGAACCAGGCGCAGAAGTGGGGAGGCAAGCGGCTCCCACAGTGATATAGGAGATCGCGTTCCTTCGACACCAATGGCTAGCAGAGAACCCCGCCGCCGGGATGGCAGGGACTGGCATGATGACAGAAAATCGACGACAGCGACATGACGACAGCGACAGCCATGTTCGAGACAGGGATCGTGACAAACAGCTTGCTGATACCTCGGGGGGCCCTGCTATTCGGACTCAACAACAACAGCGTGCGCAACAACTATCGGACGAACAACGGCTGGTACAAGGGTTCGAGGACTCCGCCACCTTCGCTAATGAAGAACGGCCGCGAAACTCCTCCTCAGCATCGCGATCCGTGAGGAACACCGTCATCGGCTACGCGGGTGGATACCCCCGTTGTTGGACAAGGAGGACATCCAATTTTTTCCGCCAGCTCCACCTACACCAGGCTCAGAACTCTCCCTTGAACAGCGCTTCACCGACGTTTTCCAAGCGCAAATGTAGCTCGCCACCACTCGGCTTAATGCAGAAGCTAGTTCTCTCGTTAAACGAGCTCCAACGGCATTGCATGGAGAACAACAAGTGGCTCTGGGACAATTTAGACAAGAGGGTTCGCGCATCGATGGCTTGGGCACTACCGACAGGGAGCTCAACCAACGCTCCTTCGCGGCAGAGCACGAACATCAACGACGATGCGCAGACGTGGAACGCATTCAGGCGTCGTTGGTCATGGCTGGGGCTACCCTGCTCCCTCTGTGCATGGCCGCTCTGGTCGTCTGGGATAGACCACCAGACCCACACCTGCACATCACCGGGGTTCCGTCTGCCACTCAGCCTGACGAGGTTCGACGAGCATTGGGCCCCTGGATGACAGCAGCTGGAGTGGCGTTATCCGACATGGAATTGGTCGGGGACGTTCCAGCGTGACGAATACTCTTACGAGTCTCGGGAGGACCAGCAGCCTTTTCTCAGAGTGTATCACCGGCAGGGATCATACGCACATGAGGGCAGTAGAGAAAATTTACAGCGAACAGCACGAATAATGCCATCATTCCGCCATGCACCACCTCAGACAAGCTCCAAAGCAACTTCGGCGCGAACTTCCAACAAAATGATTGGTCCGCATGCCTACTGAGCGACATGCCGACCACTTGTTCCGCAAAGTTGGCGATAACGGGATCGCATCCTTCGACGATGTCCCCATTGCCCCGGCGGAGGTCGGCGACAAAGTTGCGGCCGCCACACAACTTCGCTGGGATGGAGCCGCAGTTCATCGATTGGGCATCAACAAACAGAGCAGCACCATTGAACTCCAACGACGATTTCGGGCTTCTGATATTCCAACGCGGTCGATCCAGCACAGGCTAGAACCCTTGGATAGAGCGAACAACGCGAGGAGGTGCCCGAATAAATCCGTCGAACGCTCGTGGCTTGTGCCGCTACAAAGATTGTCGCCATCGCCTCAAGCCTCTGAAGTTTGTGCGCCACGCGAAGATGGGCGCGCCCATTCTCGACCGGGAGACGCACTGCGTCCGACAACGACTGGAGTTGCTCATCAGCAGTTCCCCGCACCACTACAAGGTCTCCCACTTTCGGGCATCACGAGCCCTAGTGAAGATCATGAATGTTCACAACTGTGACATCTCGCCCGCTGACAAGCCGACCGCTACCTGTTCCTGGCGTGCACTGGTAGATTGGAAAGGAGGAACCTCCCACCGGGACTTCCGTTGCCACGGGCGATTTCAACATCAGGGAGGGAGTGCCACTTAAGCGACGACGACCCGCTGCCATCGTCTGCCCTGCTACCTGGCGCTCGCATCTACCAACCTGGCGAAGCTTTCCGGCGTTCGCTCTCTGATCCTACTCAGGGGGCGCCGACGCACTTTAGCAGGCAGCACTCGGCGGCCTCGGCGATTGACCGCATCTTCATCTGCACTGGGGAACACTACCTGCACGACTCGGACATCTTTCGCACCATCGACGCGGACCCCATGGAAAAGTCGCAGGCCAGGCTCAGCGATCACTCGATCGCGCACCTCACGCTGAGGAGCAAGGCACCAGCAAACGCCGATGATCAGCACCCCAGATGTGGTGTTCACCGACGCATGGCCGAACTGCTGCACCCGACCTCGAGCGCCTCTCCCCCGTGCTACCTACACGGGTAATACATGAGTTGTTTTGCTGGAGGCGGCCAAGCAACCCATGGATGAGTTCACTCGGCTACCCTGCCGCGAAGGAGACAGGCGAGCGCGCGGCGGGCGCAATATTACTTCACGCAGCATCTCAAGGGCCGCACAGAGGCAAGTTACCAAGCTGGCAGCTCTACTCTCTTCATCTACGGACGATGGAAAGCGCCACTTATGTGCTCAAGAGGAAATTACACGACTACATTCACATGACGCGCTTCGAAGGCAGTTCAGGTCGACGCGCGCAGCAGCGCCGGGCGCCAACCAACCACGCACCGCCCAATGCGCGGGCGACCACCAAGCTGCTGTGGCACACTTCAAATAGACCAAGGCTATTCGCAAAGAGCTATGATGTCAAAACCGAGGGGCCGCCGTCCTTTTCCAGCAGGGATGCGACCTGGGCACGCCCTTGAGGACGCCCCTCGAAGGTCCCAGAAGCCCCCCGCACTTTCCGGCCCATGGTCTCTCGGGCGCAACCGGCGGACAAAACAGGAGATTCAGACGCACCTCGACAGGCGCTTCGCGGCCTTGAGCATGGCCGACATTGCAACTCCCAGCGTTGAAGATCGAAAACGCACACTCCAGCGCGTACGTCACAGTGCCCCTGGTCTCATAGGTCCCCCCACATGGCCTCACACAGCCCTGTTGGACGCACACAGTCCAACAGGGCTCTGTGCCAGGTAGGAGCTTGTCGGGCAACATTTTGAGGATCGAAACAGCGGCGCGCCGAGCCATCATCCACGAGTGCGAAGTAGAAAACGCCCCGGTCTTCGTCGTTTTTGACATGGCCGCTGCATCCCCGCCCTTGGGGCGCAACTGGCTGCCGTCAGTCCTCGAGAGCTTTGGCCCCCAACAGGTCACATCAATCCAGCTGCTTCCTTGTATTTCGGTCACCCGAAATTTTCCGAGATATAGGGATCTCTGCAGTTTCTGTATTATTGCCCAGTAGGAGTAACGCAGGGATATCCAGTATGAGGCTCGGTCTGGGCCATGGCGATGGACCCGATCTTACGTCGTCTGGCGGGGGGGAGTCCCGTCGTCGGCTTTCGGCGAGTGTCCGGGGAAGGTCGTAGGACGCGTTGGCGATGCAGGGCTGGCGCGGCCCCGCCTATAGGATCTGATTAGGGCCTACCCAGTTTCTGAGCGCGCGGAGACTCGTGCACGTTCGAAATTGTAAACAAACAAGACAGTGGTTGTGCCTGCGTAGGCAGGGCTCACCCTCGAGCTTTCCGTGCTTCTCTGCAGGTGCACACAACCCGTTAGGCGGATATACTGATCAGCCCGCATGCCAAATATCTTGGCCGTCAGTTCGGTCCACGTGCGACAGAACAGCTCATCTGGGCTGAAGTGGCTCCCGAATGTTGGATTCGCTCTTCCGAAACCCCTCGCATTGAATGTCCCACCAGCGTGATCATCGTGCTGTACACGAGCACTGCTCTGTCCACGCTGAGTTATCTAGCTTAACTATATTCACTGATTCGTTCTGTGGTCTTCAAAGAGAAATTTGCTCTGCACAGAATACCACGGCTGCCGCCGAGTACATTCCGCAAGGCAGACCTGCTCGCTTTCAAGACACACAAGATTGTTGCCCCTGCGTCTGCCCTCATCATGGGTGCGTCGAGCTTGCGGCGATGCGCCTATCACACTCTCGGGGGATGGCAGCAGCAGCTCGGTGAGTGGTCCGAAACGGTGGCGCCATCGCGCCCCCTCGTAGAGCGGCCGCAAGGCATGCGCAGCGCGCCCTGCTGCAGGATCGGCCAGGGCATCCTTCAGCGATTTCAATCCATCCTGCGCGGGCCGCCGCTCCGTAGGATTTCTAA